GATTTGCTCCCAGGTGTATTTTTACACACTCTGGAGTATCCCAGTTTAATTTATCCTCCTATGAGTAACCCATGAGTATCCTATGAGTAATTTACTCACCTGTTTAGTGGCCGCCAGTCTCCTCTGCAGGTGCTCGATTTGCTCCCAGGTGTATTTAACTGCTCCCAGGTGTGTTTTTACACCCATGAGTAACCCATGAGTATCCTATGAGTATCCTATGAGTAATTTACTCACCTGTTTTGTAGCAGCCAGTCATCTCTGCAGGTGCTCTATTTGCTCCCAGGTGTATCCCAGGTGTATTTAACTGCTCCCAGGTGTGTTTTTACACCCATGAGTAACCTATGAGTATCCTATGAGTAATTTTCTCACCTGTTTAGTGGCCACCAATCGTCTCTGCAGGTGCTCGATTTGCTCCCAGGTGTGGTTTTATACACTCAGGTGTATCCCAGGTGTAATTTATCCTCCTATGAGTAACCTGTGAGTATCCTATGAGTAATTTACCTGTTTGGTGGCCGCCAATCTCCTCTGCAGGTGCTCGATTTGCTCCTCGCTCATGCGGAGCCTCCTCAGCGCCTCCTCGTCCGCCAGCTTCTTGCTCTCGCGCCGCTCGCGCTCCTCCAGCTCCCGCCAGCGCCCGCGCAGCTCCTCCAGCTGGTTAATTAATGGTAATTAATCAATTATTAATAATTAATAATCATTATTAATGTTTGATTTGTTGATTAATCAATGAGAATTCATGGATTAAAGGGAAGAGTCAATGGGATCACGCTCCTCCAGCTCCCGCCAGCGCCCACGCAGCTCCTCCAGCTGGGTAATTAATGGTAATTAATTAATTAATAATTAATAATTAATGCCTAATTCATTGATTAATCAAAAGGAATTCATGGATTAAACGTGAAAGTGAATGGGAGTCAATGGGATCTCGTTCCTGCCAGCGCCCCCGCAGCTCCTCCAGCTGATTAACAGTCATTAATTAATCAATAATTAATCCCCAATTAATCATTAATTAATGTCTAATTCGTTAATTAATGAATAGGAGTTAATGGTTTAAAGATGAAAGTCAATGGGAGTCAGTGGGATCTCACTCCCACCAGCAGCCCCACAGCTCCTCCAGCTGGGTAATTAATGGTAATTAATTAATCATTAATCATGAATAATAATTATTAGTGCATAATTCATCGATTTATCAATGGGAGCTAACGGGAGCAGTAAATTAATGGGCGGAGTTTGGGCTCTCGCGCTCCTCCAGCTCCCGCCAGCGCCCACGCAGCTCCTCCAGCTGGGTAATTAATATTAATGAATTAATAATTAATCATTAATAATCATTATTAATGTATAATTCATTAATTAATCAATGGGAATTAACGGGAGCAGTAAATTAATGGGTGGAGTTTGGGTCCTCGCGCTCCTCCAGCTCCCGCCAGCGCCCCCGCAGCTCCTCCAGCTAGTTAATTAATAGTAATTAATTAATAATTAATCATTAATTAATGCCTAATTAATTGATCAAGCAAAAGGAATTAATGGATTAAACGGAAGAGTCAAAGGGAATCAATAGGAGTCAATGGGATTGCGCTCCCCCAGCTCATTAATTAATGTTAATTAATCAATAATTAATCATTACTTAATCACTAATTAATCATTAATTAATCATTAATTTATGTCTAATTTGTTCTTTACTTAATGGATATTTGTGGTTTAAACAGAAGAGTTAATAGGAGTTAAAGGGATCTCGGTCCTGCCAGTGCTCATGGAGCTCCTCCAGCTAATTAACAGTCATTAATTAATCGCTAATTAATCATTAATTAATGCCTAATTCATTGATTAATCAAAAGGAATTAATGGATTAATGGGAAGAGTTAATGGGAGCCAATGGGATCTCGGTCCCGCCATTGAACACCTCCACCTCCTCCCATTTCCACTAATTAATATTCACTAATTAATAATAATTAATCAATTAATTAATTATCAAACAAAAAAAAATTAACGTTGAGCTCATTAACGAACAAAAATCATCCGTGGCCCCTCCCACATTAATTAGATCACTCAGCAAGACTAATTAGGGTTAATCACGATTAATCAGCGTTAATTAATCAGCGCTAATTAGCGTTAATTACCTCGGCCTTGCTCTTCCTCTCGGCCGCCATCAGCGTCACTTTGTCCCTCTGCTCCTTTGGCGCCGATTTGTACATGTCCAGCAGCAGCTTCATCTCCTTCTGGCTCTCCTGGGCCTTCCTGGGGGTTCATTTGCATCTCATTTGCATATTCGATATAGCCACGCCCCTTTTGAGGCATCCAATGAGAATCCGTAAAAAAATCGCGCAGAAAACGCCCCAAAAATGGCCAAAATCAACCAAAATTTCATCTCTTTCTGGCTCTCCTGGGCCTTCCTAATGGTTCATTTGCATCTCATTTGCATATTTTAAATGGCCACGCCCACTTCATTGCGTCCAATAGAAATCCACAAAAAAATCCGCAAAAAAAATCCCTAAAATCACCCAAAATACCCTGAAATTTCATCTCCTTCTGGCTCTCCTGGGCCTTCCTGAGGGTTAATTTGCATCTCATTTGCATATTTTAAATGGTCACGCCCTCTTTAGGGCGTCCAATAAGAATCCGCAAAAAAATCCGCCAAAAAATCCCTAAAATCACCCAAAATACCCTAAAATTTCATCTTTTTCTGGCTCTCCTGGGCCTTCCTGTGGGTTCATTTGCATCTCATTTGCATATTCAAAATGGCCACTCCCCCTTTGTGGCAGCCAATGAGAATCCACAAAAAAATCCGCCAAAAAAACCCCAAAAAATGGCCAAAATACCCTGAAATTTCACCTCTTTCTGGCTCTCCTGGGCCTTCCTGAGGGTTCATTTGCATCTCATTTGCATATTTTAATTGGCCACGCCCCCTTTGGGGCATCCAAAAAAAAACCGCAAGAAAATCGGCCCAATTTTGCACCAAAATCGCAAAAAAAATGATAAAATTTCATCTCCTTCTGGCTCTCCTGGGCTTTCCTGAGGGTTCATTTGCATCTAATTTGCATATTTTAAATGGACACGCCCCTTTGGGGCAGCCAATGAGAATTCGCCAAAAAAATCCGCCAAAAATTGCATAAAAATCGTCAAAAAAATGATAGAATTTCATCTCCTTCTGGCTCTCCTGGGCTTTCCTGAGGGGTTCATTTGCATCTCATTTGCATATTCGAGATGGCCACGCCCACTTTGGGGCGTCCAATAAGAATCCGTAAAAAAATCGCGCAGAAAACACCCCAGAAATGACCCAAAAAACCCCCAAATTTCATCTCTTTCTGGCTCTCCTGGGCTTTCCTGGGGGGTCATTTGCATCTCATTTGCATATTCGAGATGGCCACGCCCACTTTGGGGCGTCCAATAAGAATCCGCAAAAAAATCAGCCAAAAAATCCCTAAAATCACCCAAAATACCCCCAAATTTCATCTTTTTCTGGCTCTCCTGGGCTTTCCTGGGGGTTCATTTGCATCTCATTTGCATATTTGGGATGGCCACGCCCACTTTGGGGTGTCCAATGAGAATTCGCCAAAAAATCCGTCAAAAATTGCCCCAAATTTGACCAAAAAAAGCCCAAAATTTTATCTCTTTCTGGCTCTCCTGGGCTTTCCTGAGGGTTCATTTGCATCTCATTTGCATATTCAAAATTTCCACGCCCACTTTGGGCGGGGCCGATAAAAATCCACCCAAAAAAAATCCCTAAAATCACCCAAAATACCCCAAAATTTCATCTCCTTCTGGCTCTCCTGGGCTTTCCTAATTGTTCATTTGCATCTCATTTGCATATTTTAAATGGCCACGCCCCCTTTGGGGCATCCAATGAGAATCCACAGAAAAATCGCACAGAAAACGCCCCAAAATCACTTAAAAAACCCCAGAATTTCATCTCCTTCAGGCTCTCCTGGGCTTTCCGGAGGGTTCATTTGCATCTCATTTGCATATTCAAAACGGTCACGCCCACTTTGGGGCGTCCAATGAGAATCCACAAAAAAAATCGATGCAAATTTGCCCCAAAAATGACCAAAATCAGCCAAAATTTCATCTCTTTCTGGCTCTCCTAGGCCTTCCTGAGGGGTCATTTGCATCTCATTTGCATATTATAAATGGCCACGCCCCTTTTATGGCGTCCAATAAAAATCCGCAAAAAAATTGTCCCAAATTTGCACCAAAACCGCCCAAAAAACACTAAAATTTCATCTCCTTCTGGCTCTCCTGGGCTTTCCTGAGGGGTCATTTGCATCTCATTTGCATATTTTAAATGGACACGCCCCCTTTAGGGCGTCCAGTAAAAATCCCCCAAAAAATCGCTGAAAATTTACCCCAAATTTGACAAAAAAAAGCCCCAAAATTTCATCTTTTTCTGGCTCTCCTGGGTCTTCCTGAGGGGTCATTTGCATCTCATTTGCATATTTTAAATGGACACGCCCCCTTTGTGGCAGCCAATGAGAATCCACAAAAAAATCCGCCAAAAAAACCCCTAAAATCCCTCAAAATAGCCAAAAATTTCATCTCTTTCTGGCTCTCCTGGGCTTTCCTGAGGCTTCATTTGCATCTCATTTGCATATTCGGGATGACCACGCCCCCTTTGGGGCATCCAATAAAAATCCGCAAAAAAAATCCGCCAAAAAAAATCCCTAAAATCACCCAAAATACCCCAAAATTTCATCTCCTTCTGGCTCTCCTGGGCTTTCCTAAGGGTTCATTTGCATCTCATTTGCATATTCAAAATGGACACGCCCTCTTTGGGGCATCCAATAAAAATCTGCAAAAAAATCGATGAAAATTTACCCCAAATTTGACCAAAAAACCCCAAAATTTCATCTCTTTCTGGCTCTCCTGGGCCTTCCTGGGGGTTCATTTGCATCTCATTTGCATATTTTGAATGGCCACGCCCCCTTTGTGGCGTCCAATAAAAATCCGCCAAAAAAATCTGCCAAAAAACCCCCAAAATCACACAAAATACCCTAAAATGTCATCTTCTGGCTCTCCTGGGCTTTCCTGGGGGTTCATTTGCATCTCATTTGCATATTTTAATTGGACACGCCCATTTTGGGGCATCCAATAAAAATTTGCCAAAAAATCCGTCAAAAATTGCCCCAAATTTGACCAAAAAACCCCAAAATTTTATCTCTTTCTGGCTCTCCTGGGCCTTCCTGAGGGGGTCATTTGCATCTCATTTGCATATTTGATATGGACACGCCCCTTTTATGGCATCCAATAAAAATCCATAAAAAAATCATGCAGAAAACGCCCCCAAAATGGTCAAAATCACCCAAAATTTCATCTCCTTCTGGCTCTCCTGGGCCTTCCTGAGGGGCCATTTGCATCTCATTTGCATATTTTAAATGGCCACGCCCCCTTTAGAACATCCAATAAAAATCCGGAAAAAAATCGGCAAAAAAACCCCCCCAAAAATGGCCAAAAATCACCTAAAATTTCATCTCTTTCTGGCTCTCCTGGGCCTTCCTAATGGTTCATTTGCATCTCATTTGCATATTTTAAATGGACACGCCCCCTTTGGGGCGTCCAATAAAAATTCGCCAAAAAATCCGCCAAAAAAATGCCCCAAAAATGGCAAAAATCACCCCAAATTCCCAAAAATTTCATCTCTTTCTGGCTCTCCTGGGGGTTCATTTGCATCTCATTTGCATATTTTAAATGGCCACGCCCCCTTTGGGGCGTCCAATAAGAATCCGCAAAAAAATCCACCAAAAAATCCCTAAAATCACCCAAAATACCCTCAAATTTCATCTCTTTCTGGCTCTCCTGGGCCTTCCTGAGGGTTCATTTGCATCTCATTTGCATATTCGAGATGGACACGCCCCCTTTGTGGCAGCCAATAAAAATCCACCAAAAAATTGCGCAGAAAACGCCCCAAAATGACCCAAAAACCCCCAAAATTTCATCTCTTTCTGGCTCTCCTGGGCTTTCCTGGGGGCTCATTTGCATCTCATTTGCATATTCGGGATAACCACGCCCCCTTTGGGGCGTCCAATAAAAATCCGCAAAAAAATCGCACAGAAAATGCCCCAAAATCACTTATAAACCCCCAAAATTTCATCTGTTTCTGGCTCTCCTGGGCTTTCCTGAGGATTCATTTGCATCTCATTTGCATATTTTAAATGGCCACGCCCCTTTTATGGCGTCCAATAAAAATCCGCAAAAAAATTGTCCCAAATTTGCACAAAAATCGCCCAAAAAACACTAAAATTTCATCTCCTTCTGGCTCTCCTGGGCTTTCCTAATTGTTCATTTGCATCTCATTTGCATATTTTAAATGGCCACGCCCCCTTTGGGGCGTCCAATAAAAATCTGCAAAAAAATCGATGAAAATTTACCCCAAATTTGACAAAAAAACCCCAAAATTTCATCTCCTTCTGGCTCTCCTGGGCCTTCCTGAGGATTCATTTGCATCTCATTTGCATATTTTAAATGGACACGCCCCCTGTGGGGCGTCCAATAAAAATCCGCCAAAAAATCAGCAAAAAAAATCCCGAAAATCACTCAAAATACCCAAAAATTTCATCTCCTTCTGCCTCTCCTGGGCTTTCCTGAGGGTTCATTTGCATCTCATTTGCATATTCGATATGGACACGCCCCTTTTATGGCGTCCAATGAGAATCCACAAAAAAATCCGCCAAAAAAATCCCTAAAATCACCCAAAATACCCTCAAATTTCATCTTTTTCTGGCTCTCCTGGGCTTTCCTGGGGGGTCATTTGCATCTCATTTGCATATTTTTAAAAGGCCACGCCCACTTTGGGGGGGCCAATAAAAATCCCCAAAAAAATCCACCAAAAAATCCCGAAAATCACCCAAAATACCCTAAAATTTCATCTCCTTCTGGCTCTCCTGGGCTTTCCTAAGGGTTCATTTGCATCTCATTTGCATATTATAAATGGCCACGCCCCTTTATGGCGTCCAATGAGAATCCGCAAAAAAGTCCACCAAAAAATCCCGAAAATCACCCAAAATACCCCAAAATTTCATCTCTTTCTGGCTCTCCTGGGCCTTCCTGAGGGTTCATTTGCGTCTCATTTGCATATTCGATATGGACACGCCCACTTTGTGGCAGCCAATGAGAATTCACAAAAAAATCGATGCAAATTTGCCCCAAAAATGACCAAAATCAGCCAAATTTTCATCTTTTTCTGGCTCTACTGGCCCTTCCTGGGGGGTTCATTTGCATCTCATTTGCATATTCAAAACGGCCACGCCCACTTTGGGGCGTCCAATAAAAA